CTTTCTTTTTTTTTTAAAGATTTTTTATTTATTTATTTGACAGAGAGAGACACAGCGAGAGAGGGAACACAAGCAGGGGGAGTGGGAGAGGGAGAAGCAGGCTTCCCGCAGAGCAGGGAGCCCGATGTGGGACTCGATTCCAGGACCCTGGGATCATGACCTGAGCCGAAGGCAGTCGCTTAACCAACTGAGCCACCCAGGCACCCCGGTCTTATGCATTTCTTAAGGCTTGTTTCTTAAGCCTTATTTGTTGCTACTGTGGAATAGGATCATTAAAAAATTGCTTTTATCTATTTTACCCATCCCCCAACCTCCCTCCCTCTGGCAACCACTAGTTTGTGCTCTGCATTTAAGAGTCTAGTTTTTTTTTCTTTTTTCTTTGTTCATTTGTTTTGTTTCTTAAATTCTACATATGAGTGAAATCTTATGATATTTGTATTTCTTTGACTAACCTATTTCACTTAGCATTATACCCTGTAGATCCATTCATGTTTTTGCAAAAGGCAAGATGTCATTCTTTTTTATGGCTGAGTAATATTCATATATATATGTATATATATATATATACCAAATCTTACTCTATCCATTCATCAGTCAGTGGACATTTGGGTTATTTCCATAATTTGGCTATTGTTGATAATGCTGTTATAAACATAGGAGTGCAGATACCTTTTTGAATTAGTATTTTTGTTTTCTTTGGGTAAATATCTAGTAGAGGAACTCCCGGGTCATATAGTAACTCTATTTTTAATTTTTTGAGGAACCTCCATACTGCTTTCCACAGTGGCTGCACCAGTTTGCATTCCCACTAACAGTGCAAGAGGGTTCCTTTTCCATTTTCTATATATCTTTCCCAACACCTGTTGTTTCTTGAGTTTTTTATTTTAGCCATTCTGACAGGTGTGGTAATCTATTCAGGTTTTCTACAACTTTTGGAATCAATTTTTATAACTTAGACTCTCTTAGAAAATAATGAGAAAAGGTTAACATTCACTATCTATAATAATATAATATTCCTATAAACCAAAAAAGATGGATAACCCACTTAAAAATAAGCAAATACCAAGTCTGCATAATTAATTGAAGAAAAATTTGGATGGCCATTTAATATATGCTTTAACTCCATCATATCTAGGGCAATCATATATCTATGTTTCCCTGGAAAAGTCCTGGTTTATATGTGCTCTTCCAGCAAAATTATGATTTGTGTCACCTTCAGTCTTAGAAGTTTCTTTAGAAATTCCTCCTCGCTCTGCTTATTCATCCCTCCTCTCCCCTCTCCAACCCCTGGCAAGTTACTAAGTTTTAGTCTTAGAAGTTTCCTAGCACCATGTGTTGAAGAGACACTAAATTATATCATCTCCCTACTTATAATAAATGAAATGAAAGTTTAAATAATAATGAGGGTTTTATTTATTTTTGCCAATCAGATTAACAAACATTAAAAAATTTATAATATTCATTGCTGGAAATGGCAGAGTAAAACAAAGGATAACAGTGGAAGAGATAATTGGTACGTTCTTTTGGGGCTATAAATTTGGCAATATCTATTAAAGTTTAAGTGTGCATGTCATTTAATCTAACTTGTAGATCTATGGACTTGTAGATTCTTAACTTCTGGAAATATATATATTTTTAAATATTTTATTTATTTGACAGAGAGAGATAAAGCAAGAGAGGGAACACAAGCAGGGGGAGTGGGAGAGGGAAAAGCAGGCTTCCCGCAGAGCAGGGAGCTGGATGTGGGGCTCGATCCCAGGACCCTGGGATTATGACCTGAGCTGAAGGCAGACACTTAATGACTGAGCCACCCAGGCGCCCTTAACTTCTGGAAATATTGATGCTACTGTGCAAATAACATGTATGGACGAAGTTGTTGTATAGGCTGCTGATTAAATAAATGAAGGTACGCTTATAAAATGAATATTATGTTATTGTTTAAAACAATGAGGTAGCTGTATGTATCAGTATGGAAAGATTTCCATAATATATCAAGAGAAAAAATTAAGATACAAATATATTATACATAATATATTAAGAGAAAATATACACAATATGTATATACACAATGTGTATGTATATATATTAATATAATTATACATTATAATATATACATTAATATATTATACATAATAAGAAAAAATTAAGATACAAAATCGCATTATGGTTGAAGTTGACATTTGGCAAAATATACACATATATAATTTGTTTTTCTATGCTTAGAAAACAAGTTTGAAAATATATGCACCAGGGGCTCCTGGGTGGCTCAGTCGTTAAGCGTCTGCCTTCGGCTCAGGTCATGATCCCAGGGTCCTGGGATCGAGCCCCACATCGAGCCCCACATCGGGCTCCCTGCTCGGCGGGAAGCCTGCTTCTCCCTCTCCCGCTCCCCCTGCTTGTGTTCCCTCTCTCGCTGTGTCTCTCTCTGTCAAATAAATAAATAAAACCTTAAAAAAAAAAAAAAAGAAAATATATGCACCAAACTTAACACCTATTGTCATGAGAATTTAGTTGAATAGAACTGAAATGAGAGAATTCAATAAAAATTTCGTTAAATGTTAGGGGAAAAATCATTTTTGAAAAAAACATAGCCTACTCAACAATAATCCTGAAATACTGTTTATGCTGGTAGAAAACAGAAAATCTGGTTTTGTCTTGGTAACAGGCATCAAAGAATAATCCTTTGGTTCTGTTAGAGCTGTTGTTTCTTCTGGTTAGAAGTATGACCTTTATCCTCTGTCAAAAACTTCATGACTATATAAAAGGTTTTTGAATTCTGAAGAGACAGGAAACAGATCTCAAACTATGTAGTTACTAGTTTTATATTTCTAGAATATAGTATTAGAATCTTTTGGCGGGAAGTGTTCTCAAGCACTTCTGTGCTTAGTACATAATAAGCCATCTATTAAGTATACCTATGATTATCATCATTATCATCATCATGAATAATCAGCAATAGGTACAGTTACATAAATTGATCAATATCATCAATATTGACATATAACATATTTCATCATTGCATCTCTGGAGGGGTATTTTAACAGCTGAAATAAAAACCTGTTAAGTTTTGTCCTGACTATGAAGTTGGGTGGATGTTCTCTCCTCTTCAACTAAAGACTCAGTCATGGTCATGGTTATTTACACAGTAACAGTGTAGCCTTTATTTTTAAAATTTATTTTCATTTGTTAAAATAAGACTGTTTTTTTTTATTTTGAGCACTTTTAGGTTCACAGCAAAACTGAGAGGAAAGTACAGAGATTTCGCATGTACTCCCTACCCCCACACAGGCATAGCCTTCCCCATTATCAACATCCTCCACCAAAGTGGTACACTTGTTACCATTGATGAACCTACATTGACACATCATTATCACCCAAAGTCCACAGTTTACATTTGGGTTTACTCTTGGTGTTGTACATTCTCTGGGTGTGGACAAATGTATAATGACAAATGTATCTATTATAATGGTATGGTACAGGGTTTTTCATTGCCCTGAAAATTCCTCCTTGCTCTGCTTATTCACCCCTCCTCTTCCCTCTCCCACCCCTGGCAACCACTGATGTTTTCACTGTCTCCATAGTTTGCTTTTTCCAAAATGTTGTACGTTTGGAATCATCTGGTATGTAGCCTTTTCAGATTTGCTTCTCTTACCTAGTAATGTGCACTTAAGTTTCCCCTATGTCTTCTCATGTCTTGATACCTCCTTTCTTTTTAGCACTGAATAATATTATTGTCTGGATGGACCACAGTTTACTTATTCTTTCACCTACTGAAGGGCATTTTGGATGCTTCCAAGTTTTGGTGGTTATGAATAATGCTTTTATAAACACCCATGTACAAGTTTTTGGGTGGGTATATTTTTCCCCTTTAGGTAAATGCCAAGGGGTGTTACTGCAGGATTGTATGCTAGGAATAACTTTAATTTTGTAAGAAACTGACAAATTGTCTTCCAAATGGCTGTACCACTTTGCATTCCTACCAGTAATGAGTGAGAGTTCCTATTGTATCACATTTAGTGTTTTAGTGTTCCAGATTTTGGTTATTTTAAGAGGGGTGCAATGGTATTTCATGAATTTCTGCGTGGCCTTTTGAGGGGTTGATCCTTGAACAGGCTCCACCCTCCTCCTAAGGGGCTGGGCCCCCAATTTGTGTTTCACTGGACTTATGACAGCTTCTGGCCTCTGGGTCTCCGGGTTTCAATGCCTGCCCAGAGGGGGAAAGAATAGGGAAAGATAGGGAAGACTCTGAAATTTCTCTGAGCCGGCAGCCTGGGGGAAATTATGCCTGCAAAAAGGCTTTACCAAGTGCTACTGTGGGGCCAGGCAACATTCAGTGCAACATCCCTAACAGTGAGAAAGAAAGAAGTAAAGACGTGTCCAGAAGAGACACTACTCCAGGCACCTGATGTGGCTCTATTTTATTTGTGGTAGCCAGAGGCCAGTGGGAAGAACTCCTTTAGCTCCGGGTAACTGCTGGCTCCTGGATTTTAATTCAAAGCTTTCACAGGAATGAACACTTATAAGTGGATCTCCAAAGGCACAGTCTGGAGAGGTTTCCTTAAAGTGGAGAGATCTGGGAGAGGGCTTCGTGGGGCGGTTGTGAAAGTAAGGCAACACGCGCCGGAGGAAGAAGAGTAGAAACCGGCCCACAAAAGGAAAAGCGATCGTCATGGCTTTGGGAAACTTGATCCGGTGTGTTAAATGGCATTTCAGAAGAAATCCGAATGCTACTGGTTTACAGCAAGAGTCAAGTAAAAGTGTCCGGGCTCGGGAAGCCTTCTTCAGGGATCAAAACAGACACAAGGGGTTATTTCTCTCCAAAACAACCTTTAAGAGCCGAGAGGCCCGGCTCCTTCACGACCTCCCTTCCGCACAGCCTGGCTCAGAGCCTCTCAGCCACGTCAAAAACCCGGAGAAGGGAAATCCAGTCAGGCCCTGGAGAGGCCGACGGTGGGCTCCGGTCAGCCTGCGCACTGGGCATGCGCAGGGGGTGGGCCGCCAGGTCGGCTTGGGGAGCCGTGACGAGTCCGGAAGCGCCTGCGCGCGCCCCGCCGCTCGAGAAGTAGTTTTGTTCCTGGTTCTCGGCACTGTAGCCCTTCGGAGAGAACCCTCGGCAGGACCAACCGGACCCCAGCCGGCACCGCAGCCATGTCCAGCAACAGCTTCGTTTACAATGAGCAGTCAGGAGGAGGGGAGGCGACGGAACTGGGTCAGGAGGCGACTTCAACCATTTCCCCCTCCGGCGCCTTCGGCCTCTTTAGCAGCGATTTGAAGAAGTGAGGAGAAAGGTTTGGGGGTTTGGGGACGGGACTGAGGAGCTGGAGACCCCGGAGGCGCGGGCACCGGGCTTGGGCTCCCGGGGGAAGGGTGAGGTCGCCCTGGGACCGTTGCGGGGCCGGGCGGTAACGTTTCCCGCTGGGGGGTGGGGTTGGGTCTTTTGGGAGTGGCGGGAGTCGTTGGAGAGTCTGGGGTGGATGGGTGGGGGGGGCGGTTTCTCGTAGTTTTCAAACTTTAGTGAGAAAAGAACTGTTGGAGAGGTTCAGGTCTCATTCGTAAAGACTCTGATTGGGTTGGTCGGGGCTGGGGCACAGGAGTCTGAGTTGTGAACAAACACTTCTAGCTTATTTAACATTTGCCTAGATCAAACTTGGAGAATTGCGCGTGTTATGGTGAAAGAGGAGGTGTTTGGGGGAGTTAAAAGGGCGCGTTAGAGTGATTGTTGCTTATGGGAAACTATTCCCTGACCGTGGAGTGTAGGAGCATGGAGGTGTTTTAGGCGCTTTATGAATGGACAAACCATTTATACGAACATTCATGTTCTTGGATAATATCCTTTGCATTACAGAGAAAAAAACCTCAATTCCAAACACAGTAATAAGCATTTGAGTAGAGAATATTTAGAGTGTGACTGTGAATAAGTTCTAAAGTTTTACAAATTAAATAACGTGAATTTTAAAAAATACTAAACAGTGTGTAGTTTTTTAAAAGTAAAAATATTTAAGGACCATCGAAAAATGGAGAGAAACCCTCCCCAAGCTTTTTGGTGGGAGGGGTTTTAAACTTACAGAATTCTGGTAACTTTATATTTTATTGTAATCATTTTTACATTTCTCTTATTTTTAATGTCTCATTATTAGACTATGGTGGGTCACATAATAGGCTGTCACTAGATTCATGCTGAATTAAGTGAAAGTAGCTGTGCTGATGGCTTTGCAGGTGTTAGAAGAGTATAATTAAAATTTAATTTAAGCTTTACTAATAAGATCGGGCAGTCTGCAAAGTTGCTAATAGTTGACTTTGGGTTTAAATTTTGATTGTATTAAGCTGACTGAAATCTTATATACAGCATGTGGAATACAATTTTCTGCTCCCCCCCCCCCCTTGTTCTCAGGTAAGATCACTAATTTCATTTTTCATTCAGTGCATTTAGATGATGGATTGTTCTAGTAGAAAGCTTGTTGCAGCTTTACACTTCTATTAGCAAAATTTTCAGCTGCTGAATTACCCTGTTGTAAGTCTGCCTCAGTCCGTTTTGCATGTGATTTACTTACAATTAATTTACTTTTATGGTTTGTTAACATCTAAGATGTTTTCCTCTTGGAGTTTCTGATTTCCTATTCTGTCAGATTTGGGCCTGGTTTGGAGAAAGATGTATGGCTTTGACTAAGACCAGTGCTGTTGAGGTGACCAATCAGGTTGGATTTAAAATAAAAATAGCTAACACTTACGGAGTGCTTGTGCATTTGTGCACACTATTTTACATTTATTATCTCATTCAGTTCTCCTCTCAAGGTCAGTGGCTTGTTACCAGACGCTTATCTGATTGTACTTTGCAGATGAAGAAGTTGGAGCACAAGTGGTTAACTTGTCCAAGATCGCAAAGCTACAACACTGCACTCTTTGAACTTGAACACAGACGTTCTTTTTTTTTTTTTTTTTTTTTTTAAGATTATATTTATTTATTTGACAGAGAGAGACACAGCGAGAGAGGGAACACAAGCAGGGGGAGTGGGAGAGGGAAAAGCAGGCTCCCCGCAGAGCAGGGAGCCCGATGTGGGACTCGATCCCAGGACCCTGGGATCATGACCTGAGCCGAAGGCAGTGGCTCAACCGACTGAGCCACCCAGGCGCCCGAACACAGACATTCTAATCTGAAAGCCCATTTTCTCAAACACTTGGATATGCTACTTACTACTTGATGAAATTTATGGCGCTTTTATTAGAGAATGCACACAACTCATTAAAAGTTTAAAACTTTGAAAAGTAGCTGTAGACAGTATGTTACCTGGAAGCTTCCAGGAATTAGAAACATTTTGGACACTGAACTGAAACCTAGTGGGATTGTATAGGAGCAAGGAGACACCTGGAAGTGGTTTTTTAATCTCTCTTGAGTTTACATTCTTTTATAAAATCATGATATTTCTTGACTTTTTTAAAAAAAACCAAATGACAAAATCTATGTAAGAAAAAGCTTACCCTGTTTCTCTGCTGTCATTTTTTAAATTGAGGTATACTTGACATGTAACATTATATTAGTTTCAGGTATATAATACAGTGATTTGATATTTGTACATATTCAGAAATGATCAACACAATAAGTCTAGTTAACATCTGTCACCATACCTAGTTATAATTTTTTTTCTTGTGGTGAGGACTTTTAAGATTTACTCTCAGCAACTTTTAACTATATAATACGGTGTTACTGACTGTAGTCACCATGCTGTACAGGGCATCCCATGACTTGTTTTATAACTGGAAGTTAGACCTTTTGACTCCCTCCATGCATTCATCCACCAGCTCTGTTCTAATTTTTGATGGTTGACTTTGAGATAGTTTCAGATTTCCAAAAAAGTTGCAAGAATAGTACAAAGAACTACTTGCACATTCATCAGTTAAAAATTTTTTTGCTACATTGCTTGCTTTCTCCATATACTCACAGACACATACACATTTGTATTATGTTTTCTGATCCATTGGAGAATAGGTTCTATACATCCTATCTTTTTCCTCTTAATACCTTGGTATGTATTTTTTAAGAACTGATATTTTCTTACATTACTGCAGTACCATTATATTCAGGAAATTTAATATCAGTACAATTTGTAGTCTTTAATTCAGTGTTGTCATTCGTCCCAGTAAATAATTTATTTTTAGTGTTTTGTTTTGTTTTTTTTTTCCATCTAGTACAGCATCCAGTCCAGGATCCTGTACTTGATATGGTTGTTGTATCTCTTTTAATCTCCTTTAATCTGAAATCTTTGTTTTCTTTTTTTTAAATATTTTATTTATTTATTAGAGAGAGAGAAAGAGCATGAGTGGGGTGTAGTGGTAGAGGGAGCAGCAGACTCCCTGCTGCGTAGGGAGCCTGATGCAGGGCTCAGTCCCATGACTCTGAGATTGACCTGAGCTGAAATCAGGAGTTGGTTGTTCAAGTGACTGAGCCACCCAGGTGCCCCCTTAACCTTTGTTTTTCACTACCGTGGCACCTTTGAAGAATACAAGCCAATTATTTTACAGCATGTTAATCACTTTGGATTTGCTGGTGTTTCCTCTTAATTTATGTTTACTACTCTAGTGATGTGGCTTTCTCAGACTTGCATCTAAAGGTGTTCTGTTAAGGTGTTGTCCATGATTTTTTCCCCAGTAATCATTCCATGGGGGACACTTTGAGGCCGTGCAGATGTCTTGCTCCTTATTAAATTTATCAACTCCTAGATATATAACAACCACTGATGAATCTCCTGAACCATTCTTTTCTTTCTTTTTTTTTTTTTTAAGACTTATTTATTTATTTCAGAGGGAGTGTGAGCAGGGGGAGGGGCAGAGGGTGAGAGCGAGAGCGAGAGAATCCCCAAGCAGACACCCTGCTGAGCTCAGAGCCCAATGCAGGGCTTGATCCCTGGACCCTGAGATCAGGACCTAAGCTGAAATCAAGAGTTGGCCCTTTAACTGCCTGAGCCACCCAGATATCCCTCTCCTGAACCATTCTTAACCAAAATGGCTGCAAAGTGTTGATTTCCAGCTCTCTGACTTCTTCCTCGATTCTGCTCTTTGGCCTCTTGTCCTAAAGCTTTATGTCCTTTGATCCTTCATTGACCATCTCAAGGATGCCTTAATACTTCCCCATGATGGGATTATCGATGATTTTGTTTTCTGAATTTAATCTTATTTATCAACCGTCGTTGTTCCTTTCTCCCTTTAAATAAAACCAGAATCAGGGAGTTGTACGTTACTTTAGAAAAGCAGATCCTGTACATCATTTATTGGTTAATCAAGACTATTTGTGTATTTGATTATTTGCTTCAAGATTTTCAGATTTTTCATTTAGTAAAGAGTTACTTTTCTTTGTATTCCTTTCTTTTGCAATTGTCAATTTTTATTGCTTTTAGTTTTTTTCTAAATTATTTTCCTGTTTTGTCTTAAAGAAATTCTTTTATCTTAACCAATTTGGCTCTATGTGTAATTAAAAATAATTTTAGTAATTTAAACAGTTTCTAGAAAGAAGCAGAGGAAACTAATTTTTCTTAACAATAGTAAAACTACTAAATTTCCAAATCTCCTTTCTTTTGAGAGTATTATGGTGTTTTAGAAAGAGCATTGGACCTGGAGTGAGACAACCTCAGTTTAAGTTCCTGTTTTCCACTTGTAGTAATGTTTCCTTGTTCAAGTTGCTTGATCTCTTCAAACTTCAGTGTCCTCTTTTCTAGAAAGATTATGATACTTGCCTATTTTGTGAGGTTCTCATAAGATGGCAGAGTTGAAAGCGATTTCTAACACTGGAAAAACTGGTGGAAGCTTCACCAAGGTGGTGACATTTTAGGTCTTAAAGCCTGAGTTTTTTGCCAGGTGGAGGACGGGGGGAGTTCCTCAGAGTTGCAAAAGAAAATGCATGTTCGGATGAGACAGATTTGGGCATAGATATTTAGAACTGTAGGCAGTAATTAAAGCATGGGAATGGGCAAATGACCCCTCCATCCCCTTGCCCCGGGAGAACTTCTCTTGTTTAGAAAAAGAAGGCAGTTCAGACAAAACCTGAGAGAACACTGACATTTAAGGTTGAATGGAAGAACTAGGGAAAGAGACAGTGCTCAGAGGGGTGGGACACCAGAGGAAGGTTAAAAAAAAGGGCGGGGGGGGGGGCGGGGAGCTAAGAGGATAGTAAGAGGAAATGGTCAACTATGTTAGGAGTTGCATAATGAGGATAATTAGAATGAAGGCTGAAAAGAGGCCATTAACAATAAAAGGTTTAACAATAAAAGGTGACCTTAGCAACCAG